ATATTTTGATTCGGACTATACCTTTTCCAATAACTTTGCAGGCAGCATTATTGCCCATCAAGACAACTCCACCTTCAATAGATTTATATGTGGTAAATAAATTCTGACTGGGACACATATGATAAGAACAACCCGAATCTAAAATTCACTCATTGTTAGATTTAAAACTATTATTAGTTGCTAAAAAAATAGTTCCCCCAGTCTCATCAGCAGCTATACTTGCTTCGGCAGTGTCAGTATTTTTGTGCTCATTTTTCTTTTCTGTATGCTTTTCTTTGTTTTTCAATTTAAAGCATTCAGAAATAATGTGACCTTTCTTATGACAATATTTGCATATGACATTTCTGTATCTGGATTTTGACCTTGATTTAGGTTTCTCACTACTTGAATCTTTCTTATTGGATCTACCTCTTATGAATAAGTTTTCCCCTTGATTCCCACTAGTTTCCCCAGCAATATCTCTATCTATTTGTTCTTTTGATTTCAAAATAGATTTGATATCTTTATAAGAGATATTATCCTTTCCATAAAGCATAGTATCTCTTATATGTTTTAAACGACTGAGGTAAAGAAACAAGCAATAACACAGCTTGATCCTCATCTTTGATTTCAGCATCTATGTTACTTAAATCCATAAGAAGAGAATCAAAAGTATCAAGATGAGTAAGTATAGAGGTACCTTCAGCCATACGAAAAGTGTAGAGTTTTTGCTTGAGGTAAAGCCTGTTTTCTACTGTTCTTTTCATATATAGAGTTTTAAGCTTTTCCCATATGCCTTTGGCTGAGCTTTCTGCTGCAACTTCACGCAAAACCTCATTTGAAAGATTTAAAATAATACCTGCTTTTGCCTTTTTGTCTGTGACGACAAACTCCTCGTCCGTTATTTTATCCGACATCTTGTCCTTTCCTTGCAGTGCCAAATCTAAGCCATCCTGAATTAGGATAGCTTTCATCTTTAATTTCCACATTCCGAAATTTGCACTTCGGTTAAATTTCTCAACATAAGACTTTGTTAGAGTCATTTTGGCTATTTAAAATAACCCGGTTAGATCTGGCTCTGATACCAATTTATTAAGATCGGGAATTCGGGTAGTGCAAAATTTAGCCAAACAACGGTATAATAACAATAACAAAGACAATGGAAGTTGATAATAACGAAAATTAAAGAATATAAAGAAGACACAAATTTAACGTGGTTCGGTCAAGGTGACCTACATCCACAAGCGGAGATGAGCAATTTTACTATACCAATAAGAGCACAAAAGAGAGTACAAAATTAGAGTAAATACTCTAATTAATCCCAAATACCCCAAGAGAATAACCTCACAAGATCACTCCAAAGAAAGGGTTCACACAAGTGTTTCCTAACACTCAATCTCTTATAAAATACTCTATAATAAAATAAAGGAGGAGAAAGAAAGACAAGAGTGAAAAGCTCTTGAATTGGTGTGTTTGCAAATGAGGAGAAACTCCTCTATTTATAGCAAGAAATCCTTGGCCTAATAATGGATATTATGTCATGGCAAATGTCATAATCCATAAATTTGTTATAATGGATATTATGTAATGACAAATGTCATGAATTACAAATTTATTATAATGGATATTATGTCATGGCAAATGTGATAGAAAATTTGGCCATAGTAAGTTAATAAAATTTTCTATAATAAGGCTAGAGGATAACATATATTCAAAGCTGTCATCAATACACTCTCTCTGAAGTCTCAAAAACCACTTGAGTTGACTATGTCTTCAAAGGTTAATCTGTTGATCTGTTTTTTCATTCTTCATCTGTGTGCTGCCGCTAGTGTTAGAGAGAGAAAGATAGGGATCTATGAGATCAAGAAAGGAGATTTCTCTGTTAAGGTCACTAATTATGGTGCCAGAATCATCTCTGTTCTTCTTCCTGATAAGGATGGTATGTCTGCCTTTTACATAAATAATATCCAGAGGCGAATTTAAGATTTAAATTTGATGGAGTATATTTTTATGGACTTACTGTTGATTTGAAATTATGGGTTCAAATCTAATACTCCTACTATTAGTAAAATTTTAGTGATTTTTTTTACATATATATTTATGTTCTGTGCCGAAAATAGTCCATCAGCTCATCCGCTTCTGAATCAGTCCTATCTTTCGGAAAAACATGTTCCTATCTGATCTTTGTTTCAGCATTCTTGATGTGTATATGTCTACTGTTTTTATCTGTTCCTTGATAAAATCAGTCTTATCTTGGCTTGATACTTTCCAGGAAAAATAGGTGATGTTGTTCTTGGATATGACACCATCAAGGAGTACGAGGTTAGTTCACTTTGTTCTGTTTCAATAAATCTACTTGAATTTGCTCTTTCCTAAAAACTTTGTAGTTCGTTTTCTAAAGAGAAAGAGGAGAGATAGATTCCTCTTACATTTCCTTCCTTTGATTTTCCTTCTATTTTATTGCAAGTCACTGTGGTTCTGCCTTATGCGTCTCATGAGTCAATAGCAATTGTGCCATGTAAAAATTCGTAACCACTTATGAACCAAATGGGATTAACAACTTTTTATTTGACAATGGACACTGTCTAATTCACTAATTGTAGCTTTTTCCTAACAAAAGACCCCATCTCAAGTCTATAATATCTAACCTAAATTACCCATCTTTTGGACTGATGTGAAGTATATTCAAGGAAATTTATACTGGCAAAAAATTCTCTCCATAGTTTTAAAAACTTCAAATCTAAATTGTAAAAATTCCTCCGGCTTCTTTTCTGACATAAAAACTTGAGCCTAAATCGTAATGAAATTTTCATTGAAATAACTTCAACAATTAGTACAGAACTGTGATTCTGCCCCCAAGTTGTTTCAGTTTACTGCACACTGAAATGTATGCTTATCCAAGCTGTTTGCTACTATGAAAATTCACGTTTTTGAAGCATCTAACAGCACAGAGGGGATCCAGGTTTTAAGTTCAAAACTTAAGGTTCTTAGATGTTTTTAAAATTATGGTGTCTCTATTATATATCACAATTTTGGTGGATATTTACATATAAATTTATGCACCGTATCAAAAATACTAGTTTAGATGAACCCGGTACCAAAAAGCTAACGGGGGTGGACCGTCATGAACAAAAGTGGTAGGGATATCAATGCTCTTCTGTCGCGTGCATTCTTTAAGCCTCTTTCATCATTTGATCTCCTTACCTAAGAACCAACCATACTGCCTTATTAGTTCCATTTTGTGTGTAACAACTAAATAATGTCACATTTTGGATGCAAAAATGAAAAAGATTTATGAATGTTTTCCACTACGAACCATATTGCATTGATGTATTAGATTTTGATAGATAATTTCACATTAATTGGTATCAAATCAACTTTTGACAAGCTCGTTTTAACATGTTTTTCTGCATTTACTTCTATAGTATTGAAGTCCATGCGAAGAAGGATTTTTAACTATTGTTTATAAAAGTCTTCTATGGTATTGACTCCAAATGTCATAGATTTTTCAGTTGGATGCCCAAGATCTTTTTACATTTTCATTTCATTTGAATATTATGTCAAGCTTTCTATGGAATGAGTCGTTTCATATGCGTAAACAAAAGTAACTTTTTCCAGAATGATACAAGTTCTTTTGGAGCAATAGTTGGAAGAGTTGCAAATCGGATTGGTGGTGCTCAATTTACTTTGAATGGAACCCTTTATAAGCTTATTGCCAATGATGGAAATAACACACTGCATGGTATCCTCCCTACATTTTCTTTTACCTTTGCTTTCTCTTCCAATTTCACCTCCATATAAGTTTCCTTCCTCTAATTATTATGTAAAAACTTCAAAAATAAATATATAGGTGGCCCTAAAGGATTTAGCCATGTTGTTTGGAAAGTGAGCAAGTACGAGAAAGATGGTTCCCATCCTCACATTACTTTAACTTACCACAGTGCTGATGGGGAACAAGGTGAATATATCTGCTCGGTTATATTCCACATGCAAGACAATTACAGTAATTAATTTCCTTTTGAAGATACATTATGAATTGAACAAAAATCTCATAGTTTTCCTTTTTAGGATTTCCTAGTGATCTTCTTGTCTCTGTTACCTATGGATTAAAAGATCCTTACAAGCTAAGTGTGGTAATGAAGGCAAAAGCACTAAACAAGGCCACTCCAGTTAACTTGGCTCAACACACTTATTGGAATATTGGCGGACACACCAGTGGTGATATCTTGTCCAATGATATTCAAATCTTTGCGTCACACATCACCCCAGTAGATCAACATCTCATTCCAACAGGTGAATTCGCCCCTGTCAAAAACATGCCCTATGATTTCCTGAAGCCTCGTAAAGTTGGGAGCCAGATCAACAAACTCCAAAATGGATATGACATCAACTATGCACTTGACATCAGTGAAAAAATGAAACCTGTGGCAATAGTTTATGATAAGAAGTCAGGAAGAGTGATGGATTTACAAGCGTCTGCGCCTGGTGTGCAATTCTACACTGCAAACTCTCTAATTAAGAAGGGGAAAGGTGGATATGTGTATCAGCCTCATGCAGCTTTGTGTTTGGAGACTCAAGGGTTCCCGGATGCTGTAAATCACCCAAATTTCCCTTCAACTATTGTGACTCCAGGAAAGAACTACGTTCACAAGATGCTGTATACGTTCTCAATCACGAAATACTAGAATGCTTACATTAATCTTTTCCATCATCACTCGTGTCTTGTGCATAAATTGATATTTCTGTCAAGGTCATATGTTCTTTGTGAAACACAAAACGCCTGACATTTAAACTCAATACCCTTGTGCTTGGTTGGAGTTTCCAAGGAGTTGTTTTCAAACATGCGTGGTGAGTGTTTGCATGTGGACTCACTGATTTTGGAGTGTCAAATTTCTATTGTTCTTGTATCTCTATTGTTTCAAAGTTAGTAGTTTTCGTTTAGTTTTCTAATCACATTACTCCATAAAAATAGTTAGCAGTTTCATAAGTGGTGTTTACCAAAGATATGCCTTTGGCGTTGATCCTGTCCTTCTCTTCTAAACAGTATTTATTGCACAATAACAATAACAATAACTGAATCTAGTTACTAATAAAATCAATCTAAGATATTAAAGAAGAATGAAATAGCATAGCTAGAAACAAAAAGCTTTTACTATATTCAAAAATAAATTAGGTTCATAAAGGTACAACTGACTAATGTTCAAGAGAGAAAAAAAAAACAACATGGGCGCTATTTTTTGTAATTACATGCCAACAGAAACGTGGGTGCTACCTTTGCAATTAAATATACATAAAGGAATGGGGACCGCCGGACAGCTACCTTGGCTCTGTCTGTCCATTCATCTTTGTGGATTTTCACTGGAGCTATCCCATTTCCAAGCGCTATTTTGCAGACAACTTCTGTCTTGAACACATGCAGATAATGAGTTAAACTCATTCCAAAATTGGAGGAGTGCATATTTTCATGACTGAAGAAGCTCGCTAGCTGTCTGAAAACCACAGGAGTTGACTATGTCTTCAAAGATTAATCTGTTGATCTGTTTTTTCATTCTTCATCTGTTGGCTGCTACCAATGTTAGAGGGCGCAAGATAGGGATATATGAGATAAAGAAAGGAGATTTCTCTGTTAGAATCACTAATTATGGTGCCAGAATCATCTCTGTCCTTCTTCCTGATAAGCACGGTATGTCTGGCTTCTACCTTATCAATTCAGAGGTGGATTCAAAAGTTAAATTTTGATGGTACAATTTTTAAGGTTGTTAGCACCGAACTTATTGTATTTGAGATTATGAGTTCAGATAGTGCGCATAGACCTCATCTGCTGGCTGAATCAATCTTACCTTTCGGAAAACATGTTCCTATTTGATAGTGTGATCTTGTTTCAACCTTCTTGATGTCTATATGTACTCTCTCCCATAAATTACTTTCCTTTTTAGTCAGTTCCAAAATAAGTGACGATTTTCTAAATTTAGAAATAATTCAACTTTAAACTTTCATTTTACTCATTTTACTTTTGATGAGAAGTTTTTATAACCACACAAATGCCATGGTCCCACAAATCTTTTAGCCCTTTAAGCTTTTAAAACCATAAGGCTCAAAAGTATTCTTTTTTTTTTTTTTTTAAAAT